ATGTCCCCATACCAGGCAGTTCTTTTAAAATAAATATTGTTGATCCGTCCCGTTGCCTGATAGTAGGAGATCTACCTGACACAGTACAAGTCAATCAATCAGCCACAGTTTGCATTGATACTACAGGAGCTGGTCCAGGAGCATTAAATGTACTAATCAATGGGCAAAAGGAGAGCCAGCAGTTATCAGTTGATGTAGTTCATCTTGGTGAATTGGTTGATGCAATGTCCAACAAGTACAACTTGAATTTTATTGGTAAATCCATTGGTGAGGCTAGTGTCATTATCAAATGGGGAGAGTACCAGATCTCAAAGACTCCGTTTACCATTAGTGTCTGTGATGCTGAAGCTTGTACTGTGGATGCTTCTGAAATGACTAAAAACCCGTTACAAGTCGGAGTACCGTTTACGTTTAAAGTCCATAGCACTGGAGCTGGTAAAGCTGATCTGAGCATAAAACCAGGAGATACCTCCGACTCTCGATACACTATCATCACTACGTCAGATAATGATGTACACACTGTTGCCTGTACTCCTTGGACTGTTGGAGAACAGTCTCTATCAGTGACCAGAGGAGGAGAGCATGTAAAAGGTAGCCCATTGAGCTTCTCTGTCTGTGACCCAAGACAATGCAAGATAACTGATCTACCAGATGCTGATCACTGTGTACCATTACTGGGGGTACCTATAGAGTTTAGTATTGACTATCATCTTGCTGGACCTGGTGAGGTTAGCTTTGTTGTTCGTTTACCGGATGGTTCTGAAGAGGAACAGGAAGGAGAGGAAGGAGAGGAAGGCGTGGTAGTTTATTCTTATGCACCGGAAGAGCTAGGATCCCTTGAGTTCTTACTGGAGTTTAATGGCATCAGTTTACTAAGAAACAAATGGATCTGTGAGGTGCCAGATCCAAGTATATTCCGAGCCATAGCTCCCAAGGGAATGTGCAGACTAGATGAGCCAGTTCAGTTCTATGTCACCGGTATTACAAAACAAACTGAAGACTTTATAGTCACTGGTACAGACCCAAACAGTGTTGAAATAGAAGCTACCAAGGAACAGCACATTCACAACAGCAGCATATCTGTAGTACAATTCACTGCAACAGTTGTTGGGGAATATTCGATTCAGGTCAAACACGACTCAAGTGACATTGATGGAAGTCCTTTTATAATTTGTGTCACAAACCCAGCAGGAGCAAGGATAACAGGCTCAATACCTGATAATCCAAAAGTTGGCGAGAAACTCTCGTTGAGTATTGATGCAAGTAAATGTGGGCCTGGGGACATATCTTGTGACTTGATACCACTTTATGGAGAAATAGACATTGAGCCACAGATTCTCTCTTCACCAGATGAGGATGAGCTATATGAGATATCATTTTCTTCTCAAGTTGTCCTCAATTGTTTCTTAGAGCTTAGGTTGGCAGGCTACCTCTTACAGCCCAGCCCTCAGTATCTCTCCTTTGTTGATCCTAGCAAAGTCTTAGTGAACAGCAAGGAACTGGAGAGTGGAGATATGATAAATCAAGGAGACCCACTGAGTATTGAGATTGATGGAAGAGAAGGAGGTTGTGGTACACCAGAAGCTAAAGTATCAATGGGAGGAGCTCCAGTTGATGTGGACTTGGTAGATAATAGAGATGGTACTTTTCTTGCTAGAGTGATAGCCCTAGAAGCAGCTGATTATAATGTG